CAAGGACCCACAGGAAGAGGGCTATTCAAATGTATAAGTGGCACCCCTCTATTCTGGCAATGACTCAGGAAATTACCCAAAGGGTACTACTACTTGAACACTGTGCTGGATTGAAAGGAGGGACCCATGGGGGGGGTGGCACTTACAGCCTCATCAAGGATCCAAACGATGAGGGACGTTCACACGTAAGTGGCAGCCCTCTATCCTGGCATTGACTCACCCAGTATGGTGAGGTAATTATAGTTGCCATATCCCTGGTCACTTGTGCTACCCTCGGGTGTGAGCTAATTTACCCACTGGGCTGTGGGCGAATTTCGAATTTACCCCTCGGGTGTGGGCTAATTTGCCCACCCCCAGTCAGAGGGCTATTGTGTAATTTGTGTTGTGATTGCTCTAAACCACCTCTCCTTTTCCGAGGCCAGCTGCCGTGCCTGCAGATTTGTTGATGGGCGCAGAATCCACAGATTTGTCAATGCGCCCGGTGGTGGCAGCACCTCGACGTGCGAAAGCTGGACACTGGTCAGAGGTCTGTTTGGAACAAAGACACATCATTACCCAAGTAGTTGAAATGATTGTGGATGCTAGGTATGAATTACCCTTGTGACCTCGTCTACCGGCCTCGTAAAAGATTGCCCAAACTATGAAATTTGAAGAATACGAAATGGTTCGCGAAGGGCGAAGCTCAGTGTATAAGCAGAGCACCTTGTTATGACGAAGCCAGGTCCACAGGTGGGGGTTCACCGGCATCGAAACCCATATTGCCACCTGACCACCTTGCCGTTTAAGTAAACACAAGCCATTAGGCGTTCCGTGGCCAGTGGCCGCGGCTGATGAACGTGGCCAAAATGTCTCTATTGAACCGGGTGGTACCATGCAGCGCAGGCATTACCATGTCGACCCAGATGGTGCCAATACACACAGTGCAGTGGTACCATGTGGGCAGGACAGCAATATCTGGCCTGGACGATACGTCGATACCAAGGCAGTTGGGTGGCACCACTCGCGGCGGGTCATACTGCGTAAGGCAGTTCACGGGGTGAGTCAAATAGAATGTGGACCGGATCACACAACGTGGGCCGGGCAGTACAGTGTGGTGCAAACGGGCAATGCTACATTGGTTGGGTGCTACAACGACCCCACGAAAAAGGGAAAAACAAAAAAACAAAAAACAAAGTCAAACAAAACAAAACAAAACAAAAAAAAAAAACACAGAAAAAGAGTCAAGCCCGTTTGGCTGAATGGTACACCCCAATAGGCCTAGCTCAATACTACGTGGGGTAGACTGTGCTATGTAGCGCAGGTGATACTATGTGGCTTGGGTGGTACCACGTGGAGCAGGCCAGAGTATGTGGAGTGGATGACTCTGTGGGCTGGCCGTTACAGCGCAGGGTTGATGGGCCATGCGGCAAACTATCAACAAACACGCCCAAGCTCTAGTCTTGTGACGAACAGCAAGAAAACATCTCCAACGGCATACTCACACCAGGACTTTTTCCACTCAGCTCTGGACGTCTCTGCGGTCAGATACACTCACGCTCCACTGCTCACCAAATGTGCAAAATGAGAATGAATCTTCCGCTAGAACCTGGAAAGATACACCGCCATATTTCTTGCCTTTTGTGCATTTGGTGAGCAGTGGAGCCACGCCCTAAGAAGAAGTGCCTTCTTTCCATCACTGCAGGCACACTATGTAGTTGTGCTCTGGCCATGTAGTTGTGCTCGAACATCTGGCAGTTCAAGCATCAGCCACAGCCAAAGTCTAAACCCGATCGGCCCCTCCATCCAGCTACCACAAAACGACAAACCCTGTACCAAATCGCGCCTTCACACGTGACACACCGAGATTTCCTGAAACGGCCAAATAGCAAACGGGACTCCTTGCATCTTCTCCACGAACGGAGAAACCAAAACGAACAGAAAACGTGTCCGGATGCCTTGGGGATTCCAGCCCCTCGCCTGTAGCTCCCCACACAACAAAAGACAAACGAACGTCAGAGGAAATCGTCCCCAAACGGTCAACGAACAACAGAACCTCGGTCTTCTCCGTGAACAGGGAAAACAAAAAGAAAAGAAAACGAACCCCCAATGGCTTGGGGATTGAAGCCCCTCAACTATTGCTCGCCACACAACAAAAAAGAAGCGAAAGAGGAAGACCTGGGAGAAACACTTTTGGCCTGGGACCCGCAGGCCTCGGGAATTAGTCTTCCCTGGGCCCATTGGCAGCGTCTTCCAAGGCCAGGCTCACAATTTAATAGTTATGTTGATGTCGATGTCGATGTTGAAAATCTGGAAACCAGATTCGTTCCCAGGTACTTCTTAGACACCTGGAAGGAGCAGTGGTTTTACATGGCACTTGGCCAAGAGGAGGTGGCTCTATAACTCCAATCACAGGAGTTCAGTTCAGACAGCCCTGTTTACTGCATGATTCAACTTGGGCTGGACCTGTCTGCCAAAATGTAGATGCCAGATGCCCATTGGGCCTGCATACAGGCAGTTCTTCTGCGTACAACTGTGCACCCGTATGGTCTACACACGCGTCCCACGGCTCCTGTCCCATTTTCATACATAGTAAGGTCACAGTATGAAAATGGGGCTCCACTGGTACTTTATATAGGGCCTCATTGGAGGCCACTGCGGAGCACAGTAGGATTTATGGTGGGCCCTGGACCCTCTGAACTGGGCGGCAAGCTCTATGATATCAAAGTCGAAGCTGTCCTTCGGTTAACAGTGGCAAATGGGTTTCCGCCCCTCGAATGACAACTAAACGGGTTTCTGCCCCTCAAATGACGACTGCAGCCACATGATGATACCATCCACAAGGCAATTCAAGTTCTCGGGAGCACTCGACAGCCTTGACAGGGGCAAGCTCAATTCACAACTGGTAACATTTATGAAAGCGAAATTTGAAAGGTGCCCTTAACGGGTCCACGGCAGCTGCAGATGGGTTTCTGACCATCAGAGGTCCGCTGCAGCCATGTGATCACGCTGTACAGAGGGAACCGGCAGCCACCAAGATGTGATTCGCAATTGCTCTTTAGGTGCCACTGCGTGCAGATGCACTGCTCCAGTGCGCATACTGCACAGTGCACGCTTGACAAAGCAGGGCAAGTCCTAAGAGGATAAGTGTCGTACTAGAGTGCCAAGATTAGGGGGGAAAGGAGGAGGAGGAGGAGGAGGAGGAGGAGGAGGAGGCTTACGATTTTGGGCATGAGGAATAAGAGGGTGTCATTGGCACGGTTGAATAGGAGAGGACAAAATGGCCCTGTCAGCCACATGCAGGCCAAGGAGCACGTGCAGGAGGGCTGTGCACATTTCAGCAGTGACAAGCGAATTACATGGATGACCCGATGATCGTGGTCAGTTTGTCTGCAGCTAAAAGGAGGCTCGTCTACCACCGCTGGAATAGCGATAGCAATACACTTTGCTTCACGAAGGCACATTCATGCAGAGTTACATTTTGGTACCCTTGATGTGTAGC